GTGGGTGTGAAACATGGCATATCATGTCAGGCTTTTCTCAATGTAGTTGATTGGTTTTGCTCAATTTTAATTTTTCATTTTAAAAAATTGTTATAAAGGATGGCTCGCAAGGAGGAGGTAAAAGGAAGTACAAGAGGAAACCTAGGTGATGTAAAAACAAAAATACATTGGTTCATTCAATTTTTTAAAGTTTTAATAAGCAGAGTTAAACTACGGGATATTCCAAAGGTCTTAAGACAAAGCTTAGACCTGCACTAAGACCAGCTATCTACTTTCAATCTGAAGTTCCCTTTTCTGTAATAAAGTGGATGCAATCAAGGGCATTTTTAGTAGCAACTGGAGCCAATTCCACACTGAATAACTAACTTGCCATGAAGTTTACTGAGCCCATACTCAACAGCTAAGATTTCTAAACACTCTAAGATTCTTAGAGTGGGTGGGTCACTTAAAACGTTAATAAATGGAGGGAGAAAAATTAAACGGTGTCAAGCAAAGGATGAACTCAAATGATACATTTTCATATACTCTCCCTACAAGTCCCACTCTCATTTCTCAACCTGTCACAGAACTGACCGTGGATTCTCCAAAGTTCTGTGAGAGCTCACTGGCATTCTGGTAGTGTGTTCAGTCCTATCATGTTGGAAAGGCTTGGTTCCAGGGACAGATTGTATCTACTTTCCAAAGGCCGGGCTTTGCCATTGGCTGGCCATTGGGTAATGAATGCTTTACATAAGGCAATTCATGAAGGCAATTCATAAAACACAAAATGGTCCTTACTCCTGGGTTGCCTTCTTCTGAAGTGTTGGTGGCAATGACTGAAAAGGCAAGGGTCCCTAAGAAATCAGTTTTTTATTTGGTCTATAAATATGAAGGAACTGTAAGATCCCAGTTCAATAATCAGCAAGTTGACATAATGATAGTGAACATATCAATCCTGGTATTCTTATTACAAATGATTCTTCCTTTGTTCCAAAGGCTGTGTAAAGGCATTTTGGGGCAGATTTTTTTTTGGCAGCAGGGAGAAGAAGAGGGGTTCAAAACATTGTCAGAAGTGGTATTTGAACCTGGATTTGATGCTGGCAGGGCTCCAAGTCATGATTCTCTATCTACTATGTCACATAACTCTGCATTCTTGATATAAATGAAACTTGACACAAAAGGGAACTTGCAGGAAAACGGAAGGATAGCTCACAGGTTCTTTTCAAGGGGGCAGACAAATAAAAGGAGTTAGCTGAGCATGTTTTGTTGTGTGGGCAACAAAGAAGACTGTTTCATGAGACACTTGGTCATTAGTAAAATTGGAGGATGGGAAACACTCAATAACCTCTAATGTACCTTCTAATACTAAATCAATGATCCTAAGTTAATGCTATGATTGTTTTGCATCATAGGGCCATTGAAGATCACCGTGAAGATAACAGCAATTTATGTGCCTTCACCGCTACTTCAGAAAATGAGGAGGCAAAGAAATTCTGCAAAGAACTACCTAGATTCAATCAATCTGGAGACTCCAATGCAAAGGCAGACATAAGGGAGGATGACAAATTCCTGTAGCAAACCTTTTTCTCCAAGACCATCAATTTACTACCACATTTGGGTTCTTTCCTCCCAGTTTCTCATAAGGAAATAGAAATATCAATAGAGAGAACTAGAGCACATCAAAGTATCTGTACCCAGAAGAGTTCAGTATCAGGAGACAATTTTGAAGACATGGAGATATTGATTCTCAAGATATCCTGCAATTTGCTATCTATTCCCCATGATGAAGCAGTTTCAAATACCTATAAATTCATTCACCTTAATTTCCTCAACAAAGAAAGCAAGAATAGTTACTTAACTATGACTCAACCCTAGTATAGTACTTATTAACTATATATACATTTCCTATGAGGCTTTCTGGTGGCTCTTGAGCTCTCTCTTTATGAGACTTCATCACTACTACATTCTACTAAATGCTACATGTGGTCTTGGCCTATTAGTAATAAACGAACTTCCAGGCTAATTGCCCTCATAATGTGATATTGTGCCAAGATATCCAACCTTGTGGACACTATTATATACGTGATAAATAGCAACATCCCCTCACTTGTGCCTTAGGAGGCAAAAAGTGTTTATAGAAAGCAGAGGGCTAGCTAACCTCAACCACAACACCAATAACAAACCCCTGGCAGAGACTATTCTGCTGGTGTAGTTCGCATGTGAGGACAGAGGATGGGGATGAAGATACTTAAGCAACAGTACCAAGAAGTGAAATTCCTTTCACAAAGTGCAATTTCTGGTCTGCAACAGCTTCTGGTGGCTGCTGAACAATGGTTTCCCATAGGCTAGCGCCCTATAAAACTCTACCTGATTTTCGTAACAGTTTCAAGCAATGTCCATTGATTTGACTAAAAACATTTTTAAATTATAAAAGTAGTTCTAGAGGCAGATGTCTTCATTTTTCAGGGTCCAGATGTGATATAGTATTTTCCATTTTTCTGCATCATGGGGAATATTAGTCTTGATAGCATACAAAAACAGACTTCATTTTGTCTAGTTTTTCAAGGCCATGTAATAGAAATAATAAAATACCTTTTAATACAAAATCAGAAGTTGCTGTGGTCTAAAAGACAAAGGGACCAATGTCTCAGAGCAACAGTGGTTGTATTTCAGTTCTTTTCAGACACATACCAGAGTAGCACAACCATGGGGCAGGTCATTTAGCTTCTGAGTGTAAGCTACAAATAAGTTGCTGATCTATATCCCTGGTAAGAGTTTCTATCTCCATCTCTAACAGAGATGAATTATCAGATCCAAGTTAGCAATAATTTTTACAAACATAGTTTCCCTCATCCCTCTCCCATGTTATATTCTAGAAAGACATGAGTCCAAATATTTAACACAAAACACTTAATGAGCCCCCAAATCCCTAAGTTAAAAGACAACAAGTCCTTGAAACAGGTTAAATAAAAAGCCATGAGTCCTTTAAGTAGGTTAAAAAGTTAGTATATTTAAACAATTTTAATATGATCACATAAAAATATCGAATATGTAAAAACATTGAATATTAAGTGAGTATCAGGTACACATACTAAAGGAAGACATTCTCTTCATTTGAGCCATACTGTGTACTCAGTTTTAGATAAACTGAACAAAACGCAGCAAACATAAACTGGAGATTCACTGACTTTAAAACTAGGAATTCTAGTACCATTCCCAATCACAAAAGGTCAATGCTACTGCTCCAACATCTAAGGAGACTAGAGAGAACATGCCACAGAGGAGATATTGCACTTAGCTTCAGTTCCTAGAGATCATGCTTCTTCATCCTGGCGGCCTTTTCCCACTCTACCAGCCCACCCTCAAAAAGAGCCTCCTAAAACAATGGGTGGGAGAAGCTTATACCTCTCAGTTATATAAGACCATGCTTCCTCATCACAGTAATTTTCTGCCCTCTACTGAACACATATACTACCACTCTTTCTGCCTCTGGTTCTGAGAATTGTCACTGTTGACACAATACTATCATTGCCTCGAGATAAGAAGTTACAATCAACTGCCCTATCAGTCTACTCATACTCACAATCCCTGGAACTTTCAGGACAAAAAGACCTTTTCCATGATAACCACTTCCCTATATGTGTTGTCTGCCCCTATTAGAAACCCAGTAATCTAAGCCATGGCAAGACAAAAGTCAAGACGACTGGTGACAGCCCAAGATGAAGTGGATACCCCTGGCATCTTTGGTGTCTGATCAAGCTCTAAGTGCTCCACAGCACCTGCTTCTGCCACCTTCGTGGCCCATTGAGAAAAATGTTCACATCTGCCTACTCTACCAGGGAAGCCTTCACATGCTTGAGGTAGGCAACCCCTTAACTCACCTATGGGTTTCTCATCAGTTATCCTCAAACTGAGTTAGCCCATCTGCCAAGATGGTTTACCAGAGTGTTGCTGCTGTCCATGCTATAGCTTCTTGGAGCCATAGGGGAGAGCTGGGTAGCAGGTGGATACCAAAGGTGGATGAGCAACCCTGAAAATGGCTTGGCAAGCCTTCACACACCAGAATGCTAGTCCTTCCTGAGCACCTCATAAACCCATGGTGAAATGTGGTTGCCTAGAAAAGTTAACCAGTATTGTACACCAGTTTCATGACAGCACCCTTGTACTTTTTCTGGGTAATGGATGATGCTCTCGCACTTTCCCTGTCACCAATAGAGTGAAGCAGGTACGTATGCTTTGTTTTAGCATGATGTTTTCAGCGATGTTGTCAACCTTCAACAAGGAAGAAAATGGCATCAAAGTCAACTATCAAACTGAAGGTAAATTACTTAACTTGAAAAAGCTATAATACAAGTCAAAACTAAAGTGGACGGAGAGTTGTTGCATGACTTTTTATTCACAGATGATTGTGCACTCAGTGTAGCCCTTGAGGCCAAGATGCAATGAAGTATGGATCAGTTCTCTGCTGTTTGTGTTAATTTTGGTCTGATGATTAACACCAAGAAAAGAAAGGTTCTCCATCAACCAGCCCCATGAAATCCATACGGGAAACCATCAGTTACAGCAAATGGAGAAATTTTGAATGCTGTGGATAAATTAACCTACCTTGCCAGTATACTTTCGAGGGATGTACACACAGTGAGGTTGATACATGCATTGCCAGAGCTAGCTCAGTGTTTGGGAGGCTTTGAAGGAAAGTGTGGGAGAGAAGAGGTATTAAAATGACTACCAAACTGAAGGTCTACAGAGCTGTCATGCTGACCTCATTGTTGTATGCCTGTGAAAACCGGACAGCATACCAGCACCATGCCAGGAAACTGAATTGCTTCCATTTGAATTGTCTTAAAAAGATTCTGAAGATCCCCTGGCAAGGTAAAGTACTGGACACCGAGATCCTTTCTCAAGCTGAACTGCCATGCATTCAAACTCTACAGCAGAGAGACCGCCTCCAATGGACTGGCCACATTGTCCTTATGCCAAATGTATATTTGCCTAAAAGACTATTTTGCTCTTCCATGGTGGTCAGAAGAAGCAAAACAAGGACACTCCCAAGGTTTCTCTGAAGAACGTTGGTGTTGATTCTGAGACATGGGAGACAAGGTACAGGATCATCCAGTATCGTGTGCCAGCGTCAAAGAAGATGTTCTGTTCTATGAGCAAAGCAGAATTGTGGTGGTTCAAAAGAAATGTGAGATGCACAAATTTAGGGATACCTCCCCATCCCAAATGATACAGACTATTTGTGCTCAACATGTGATAGAGCCTTCTAAGCTCATAATGGCATAACAGTCACAGCGAGACACACTGCAAACTGACCCTAATTTCATGAAGTCATTTTGGTCTTCCTCCAGTATTAAGGACAAATAACAACAATAAGATTCTGAATCATATGTCATTTTAGGAATTAGGAGATCTTAAGTCTGATTTTTAAAAAGTTAGTAAGTGTATTTTCTTGGTACAATTAAAATGACAACACATAAAAACTGCCAAAAACGAAAACATAAGCATAAAAATACATACAATACAGTGATAAGTCAAGTTTGGCCATTAGGTAATCTATTAAGGAACAAAAACATGACACTGCACAAATTGAAAAACTGAAGCTTTTATACAACAAAGTACAAGTGTTTAAACTGTCAGATTATTTTAAAAACCACATAATTTACAGAAAAAAGTTTTAAGCTTTGCATAAAGAAATACTGTTTTTTTCCCCTATAAATAACAAGCATTTAGATCCACTTCGGGAATTGAAGCTTTAAGTCTTGCCAATTGCACTTATTAGCTCAAGAACTGCATTTTATTGGAGATACATTTAAATAAACTCTCATGAAAAAAAAACCAAACAACAACTTCATTTTAGTTTATAGTACCCTCCCAGCCCAACTTTTAAAATAAAGCCTTTAAAAATAATTCAAATACAGCACAAAACTGGTCCCAATGAAGATATTCAATCTACTCTTAGTACCCTTTCTCTCAACCAAAAATAAAAACAAAACACAAAATTTGGCAATCCTATACGAACTGTGCTTCTCTTTGCTCTAAGTCTTGAATCCGTTTTGGTCTTAGTCTCTGGCACGTTGGTTTCACATCAGATGAATGGAGTTCCTCAAGGCTAGCTTTGGGTTGATTTACCCACTGCCCAGGTGAATCTGAGTTCACAACAAAATCCACAGTATTTTCATGATTGACACTAACAGGTGCTGATGTATAAGGTTCTGGAAAACTTTCTCCATTTCCCTTTACCTTATTGTTGGGAGGTGGCTTATAAAATGTCCCTGGTGGGGGCTGCAAAGTTCTCCGTGGCCTGAAAGCAGGAAGAGGATTAGAATCCGAAGAGCATCCTTCTGCTATTATTCTAGTCGCCCTGACTGGTACCATGTCTGCCTGGCTGAGCTGCATGGCACTGGACAGAGGGTTATCAGAATTGAGAGATAAAACAGAAGTAGCACCACTCTCTGGTTCTCTGTTTTCCTGGAGTGCACTGGGTATAATCACTGTAGTCCTTGTACTTGTATCATATTGTCTGAATTGCTTGTCCCAAGTTTTGGGGTCATAACAAGAAAGTCTAGAGGATGAGTTAGGAAAAGATTTTGTTTCAGATATTTCTTCAATGGTTGAACTCCTGACAAATTTGTCTGAATTTAAAGTTCCCACATTTTTGGAATTGTTCTCATTGAAAAAGTTTGGAGGAAGGAACTGATCTACAGGCAGACTCACAGGTCTAACTGATGTCTTTATCCTTGGCGATCTCAAGGTTATTTGATTACCTTTTACATTTGAATGACTATTAGCTTTAAACTTATCTCTGTTCTTGAAGGGGTAGGTTTCAGTCTCATCAAAAACCAAAGACATAGCATTTTCTGAAAAAAGTAATAATTGGATGTTACTTTTCATTTTCCACACACACTAAATATGAACATAATAAATTACAGAGATAACCTAGTTAGGCTCACAGAAAGAAGACAGATTCATAAAGATCTCATAAGCTTATCCCTGTAGAGAAGACATAGAAGAATGAACTTATTACTCTCTTTACTACTCACCTGACAAAATTTACTTTTTTTTTTTCTGGAAAAATGAGTATTTGTAAGGTTTCATTTCCTTGAAAAAAAAATTGTAGGCTCTGCCACTCCCATTTTTTTTCCAATAAAAAACTTGATGCAGAATATACTTTAGTGACACACTACAAGTCCTTGGGGCACCTAGGTGGCGCAGTGGATAGAGTGCCAGGCCTGAAATCAGGAAGACCTGAAATCAAATCCACCCTCAGATACTTATTACCTGTGTGACTCTGGGCAAGTCACTTAATCTTGTTTGCCTCAGTTGCTCATCTGTAAAATAAGCTGAAGAAGAAAATGGCAAACCACTTCAGTATCTGCCAAGAAAACCCCACATGGCATCATGAAGAGTTGGACATGACTGAAATTCAAGACTCAACAGCAACAGCAACACAAGTCCTTACCCAAGACTGTGACTTACTGAACACACTTGTCAGTTGTACTGAATTTTAACATTAATTTAGCTTTTCCCCCTTCCTTTTGCTTAAAAGAGAAATGATCCGATGGAATAATGTAAACAACCAATTTCTGGCCAGAAGTGAAGATTTACGATCACAAATATGTACTAGTAAGAGAAAACAACCAAGCATAGCAACAGTAAAAATACTTAAGAGCTCCAGCACCTAGTAACAATGTGGGGCTTTTTCAGAAGTGGTAAGAAGAGAACTGTGAAGATGCTAGTGCACTACATCACTTTATTAATGAATCAGCCTAATTTTTTCAGCGCCTGGCTGTTTAAACCTCTAAGAAAAGAATTTCTACAAGTAGGAGTCACAGCTTCTAGGAGAAAGGGAAGAGGAGATAGGAAAGGAAGGTCATAAGGTAGAGAAGCATCAAACTCCCTACAACAGATACTGGAATGCAAGAGATAAAGGCCAACAGAGATACAGGCAACAATAACAATAACATTAAAAACAATGTTACCCCCAAAGTAACATTCCCCATTCATTACAAACAAAAATGGAATTTAACCCACTGGGCTTAAGAAGATTCCAGGCTACCTTTCACCTCCTCCCAAATACTACTATTACTAACTACTACTACAAACAACCATTACCACCACCATCACCAACAATGACTACTACTACTAACAACTACTACTATTACTAACTACTACTTCCAACTATTACTACTACTGCTACAACCAACTACTTACCATCACAACCGCTACTGTTATTACAGCTGATACTACTACCACAAGCACCAATAACATTACTCACTACTACTACTACTACTACTACTACTACTATCACCACTACCACTACTACTAACTACTACTAGTAGTAAGTAGTACTACTACTTCTACTGCTTTCACTACCACTGCTGCAGCTACTACTACTACTGTTACTACTTTTGTTTGGCTGCTCTTAGGGAACTTCTCATCTGGACATACATTTCTTAATAAGAGACAAACTCTAAAAATTGGTTTAGTGCTCACCTAGCTCGTCATCATCTTCCTTTTATCCTCACTTCTTCCCTCCATGTCTCCTCCTTTACTTCACACCTCAGCCACAAATAGCAATTGTCCACTTCTCTTATTAGACTCTCTGGCTTTCCCTATATGACCATAATCTATTGCTATTCTACCTTTCTCTATGCTCATCAAATGCCTACTGGACATTTTAAGCGTGATGTCTTGGCAAAATCTCATACTCGACAAATCTAAAACTAAGCTCATCATCTTTTGCCCTAAACCCCCCTTTTCTTTCAAAACATCCCTGTTTCTGTCAAAGGCCCCACCATCCGTCCAGAGTCTCAAGCCTGTGACCTCAGCATCATGTGGGCTCCTCTTCCTCCCCACATGGTGAGCTGCCAAGTCTGGGCTTCTGCTTCCAAACATCTCTTCAATCTGACGCCTTCTCCCTATTGGCAGCTACCACCTTAGTTCATCCGGACTACTGCCAGAGCCTTCTCACTAGTCTCCCTGATTTTCCCCACTCCAATCTCTCTCCTGAACTGTTACTGTTGCCAAAGTGATTTTCCTTAATTCATCACAGATCTGACCATGTGATTTAACTGCAGGGATTCTCCTTTGCCTGGAGGATCAAATACAGACTCCAGTATTTAGCTATTAAACCCCTTTGGAACCTGGCCTCCACTTAGCTTCCCAGCCTCACCGGACGTGACTCTCCCTCTCACACTCATTAGGCAACTGGGGGCAGAGTTACTTGGCCTGGGCAAGTCACTTCACCTCTGTCTGTTACAGTTTCCTGGACTGTAAAATGGGGATAATAACAGCGCCTACCTGCTGGAGTTGTGGTGAGGATCAAATGAAATAGTAATTGTGAAGCACTAGCACAGTACCTGGCACATAGTAGGTGCTACATAAATGCTAGCTATTCTTATTCTTGTTATTACTCTGCTTCAGCTAAACTGGCCTGTTTCTCACTTGGGACACCTAGCTCTGGGACTTCCCAGTGGCTGTCCCTCACAACCCGAAGGTCCTCCAAACTCCTTATGGATTCCACCTCAGAGACATTCTCTTCTTTTAAGATCCAGCTCGGGCGCCATCTTCCACAAGAAACGTTTCCTGACCCCAACTGTTAGTGATCTTGCTCTTGGTCTACAACTGTATTTAATGTTGTAGTTATGCTGCACCTCTCTGTAGAGGTACTTGTTATCTACCCCCATCAGAATGCAAACTCCATGCATGCAAGAATCTATTCTTTATACTTGTATCTTCAGTGTCTAGCACATAAGTGCTTAATAAATACTTGTTGATTGGTGGATAAATAACATAGTTTTATAAGATATAAAGATAAACAATAAGAGTATAGTTATCATTTATAGTGCTTTCAGGTTTGCAAAACACTTTACAAATATTTCATTTGAGGCTTACAATAACCCTGAGAGGCAGGTGCTTTACAATGACCTTGAAAGATAGGTGCTAGGTTTATCCCCATTTTCCCAAATAGGTAACTGAGGCACAGAGAAATGAAGCTACTTGCCCATGGGGTCACACAGTTTGTGTATCAAGCAAGATTTGAACTCAGGACTTCCTGACTCCAAGTGTATCACTCTATGTGGAGGTGAAAGAAGGGCTGCTCTAGCCATGCCCTGGCCGGCCCAGTGTAGGAAGGACTCAGATAGACTCAAACTCAAGTGCACCTCGAGCAGAGAGACCAGAATGGTGAAGTGTCTGGGGCCTGTTCAACAAAGGATCAGTAGATGTGCCTAGAGATGCTGAGCAGGGAGAAGAGAAGACCCTGATCTGCCACTCATTTCAAAACCTTCCTGTTCTGCAGCCACATCTCTCCCATCCAGGCAGCCTCTTCTTCCAATCACATACAGTTAGCCCCCTTGGTTATGCTGGTCATTGTCCCTTCCCTGGATGAGTTCAGCAGCCTGCTGGTCTATCTCAGCTCTGTCCACTCCACTTTATCCTACCAGGAAAACGATGATTTTCCACAAGATGGACTGACTATGTCTGCTCCTCTACTCAAAAAACTCTAGTGGCTTCCTATTACTTCTAGGAACAGATCTAGAATCCTTTTTCTGGCAGCAAGAGCTCCTTATAACCTGCCACCTCCCTTTCTACCTTTCCAGTCTTCTTATACATTACTCCCCACCATGAACACTACCATCCAGCCACAGTGAGTTTTGCAAATAGCTACTCACCGATCACAGATGCATCAGCTCCTTCTAGTGCATTTTTATGGTCATGTGATCCTTCAAATGATGCAGCTGTTTCTGAAATTTTACTCTCATCTTGAGAAGGTAGGATGCCCTAATGATGGAACAAGATTAAAAAAAATAGGTTAAAAACAAATATACACCAGTGACGAAATGGGTCAAAGATCTGACATTCATTCATCCAAACTTCACAAGGCTAAGGCATAATTCAACATTTGTCACCACTCACTTCCTCTGAAGCAAGACACGACTGAGGCTTTCTAGGTCTGAGGATGAAGCTTTCATTGGTAGAAGAAGTTGAGAGTGGTTGCAAGGACACATCAAAGATCTTCACAAAATAAGCTATAAGAAGCTCCACAATTCGAGTCTGATAAGGGTAGTCCACCAGTGAGGAAGGGGAAACCTTGGCATCTGTCCGCCAAGGCCTGATCAGAGTTGGTCCAAATATTATCCCCAGATTACTGGCCGGCATCTTGTTTTCTTCAGCCTTTTGGACCACCCTGGAGAGGAAAACAGGGGAGATGGGCTGTCAAGTCTGCTAGGCTTTCTTTTTGGCTTTGGAAGTTGCGAAAGATTTGCAATGATGAAGCTGGATTCAGTTATCTTTCTTCACCACCTCTCCAGGTGTCAGCAGGATTCCATACTACCAACTAATACACCAGCACAAGGCATACATACTAGGAATTGTGGTGAAGAAGGGGAAGCAATAGTTTTTTCTAGTTATTAGATGAAAAAAGGTGACCCTAAATCCACATTCATTAAGATTATTTCTACTGCTCCAGGCTACTTCTTTGGAGGAACTCAAGGTAATTCCACTAGAAAATAAAACAAAACAAGCCACCACACCCAACTCCACATTTGCCCATTTGGATTCACAAGAAAGGAGATATTCTTTAAGGTAAATCTCTTACCTATTAAGATGGCCAATAAGGTACTCAATAGTATTATAGTTTGGTCCTGGAAGTTTTTTTAGAAGAGCTTTGATTTTCTTCAGGACTTTACTTAGTTCAGCACCCTCAGCTTCAGGGCTTGTTGGTTTTGAGTCTTCATTTACATTCTGGCTCTCTTTGGCAAGACCAATAAGCTCATCATAAAGACGAAACAAAAATAAGGGTTCTGGTAACTAAAAGGAATAAAAACCTATTAGGAACGCCAGCCTGCACATTACACTATCTATTTTTATCCTGGTCATCATCATATCCTGTTTAGTCTAGCATTTTTCTTTAAAGAGATTAAAGCCTTAGAACACTAGACCAGCTTCTGCTTCAATCCTAACTCATTCAACAAGCATTTAATAAACACCTAAGTAATTGGCAAAGTATTGGGTTAGATGCTGTGGGGATAAAAAATAAAGCTTGGATCTCTCGATGCTTCTCTACTCAGGATATTCAGGGAGGGGCAAGAGAGTAACTAATTCAGCTTCACAAAGGACTATAATATGTGGGAGAATGTGCTAAGTGCCTTCTGAAAAGGGCAAAGGGCTATGAGAGGTACGTTGGCAGTGGGAAACTGAAGGTACTTGCAGCTAGAGGAATCTCGGGTGTCACCCAAATGACCTGCCTTGAAAGACAGGTTGGATCTGGATAAATCCACTGCACCCTAATTGGCTGATTTTGGTTTATGACATGACTTTATCTTGCTAGTGTATAAGGAGGGGAAAAGAAGACTACAGAGCCTTACTGTGTATAAGCTGAAAAATGAGAGTGAGAGAACAGTCTTTCCAAAGGGAACACTAAGCGAATATACTGGGAGGCAGAGGATCAGGGTACACATCCTGGCCCTGCAACTAACTAGCTCTGGGACACATCTTATTTAGCCAATTGAGAAACAAAACTCCAATTCCACAGGAGACATTCAAAAGAAAAACTCCCCTCAAAACATCATTATTCATCTCATGAATGAAATGTTCTTCCACCTACTGACCCATGGGCATTTTGAGCACTGTGGATTCTTTGGCTCAACAGTAAGAATTACAGTGAAATTCTGGTTCTCTGATGCTCCAAGTATTGGAGATAACGTAGTTCTTCTTCCTCATTCAAATACTCAGTGTAGCTCCCTCACTGAACTGTTAGCCACTTCTGGATGGCTATTTGTAGACATCAAAGGATGTGCATTTACAGAGCATCTACTATATGCCAGGAACTGTTCTAAAGTCTTTTGACAAATAGATCTCATTTGATCCTCACAACAACTCTGGGCAGTAGGTGCTATCATTATTATTCCCATCTTACAGTTGAGGAAACTGAGGCAGGAAGAGATTAAGTGGGGATGCCACTTGACATAGTTTTATAAGACACAAAGATAACAGGGTCACAAAACTAAGTGTCTGAGGCCAGATTCAAATTAGATCTTTCTGACAGCAGGCCCAAGCCTTCTATCCACTGCACTGCCAGCTGCACTTAAGCACCAGGAAACTTATGAATTATTTAGTCCAACCCCTCAGTTTGCTAAGGAGGAAACTGAAGCCAATAAAGGTAAAATGATTTGGTTATGGTCCCAGCCAGAGAAAGAAGTAGAGGCAGAATATGACTCCAGGTTTTTTTTTCAAGTTTGCAAGGAAATCTGATATTAGTTACTCCTAATTGCTGGAGGTTCTTGTAATTCCCTGTTACTTTTAACTGGAGTTGACGAGTGGGGCTGGTGACTTTTAAGTGCTCAAAGGAACTTCATATACTACAAAAAATACACTTTTTCCAGCAAAAAGTGATTCCAGTGCTAACTAGCTATTGTAAGGAATGATCCCTCATAATATAAAGAGAGCCAGAGTCTTGCTTCAATTTAAAATAAATTTCAAGTAGAGAGTCTTTACCTTACGAAGATATAACTTAAGAACATTGCTGATATCATGTGCAGAGAATTCTGAAAGTTCTACTAAATCCGTTCCATTTTCAAAGGACTGGCAGAGTTTTTCAACTCTATTTTTAGCTCCATTCACACGGTAGATGCCCTTAAAAGAGAAGAAAGAGTAAACAAAAAAAATTTCCTTTAGTACAAAAACTTCAATATGATGATTTCACCAAGAAATAAATACTTCAAGTTGACATTTCAGAAAATATTAACTGATTTAAACCTACATAAGATACTATATCTTAGAAAACTGAATATTGATTCCCTAATATTTGATGACAGTTTTATTTAACAAAGTTTTTTTGATGCAAACTAAAAAAAAATCTGTTATGGTTTGAAATTTTAAATGAACAAAGTTAAAATATACCTTCACGTTCAAGGCTCGGCTTTCGATTTCTGAAGTACATTTTTTAATAATAAAGGGGATGCCATCAGGGGCATTTTTAGCAGCTTGAGCAAATTCCACACCAAATAAATGTAACTTTCCATGAAGTTTCTTGTGCCCGCATTGAATGGTTAGGGTTTCCAAACATGCTTTGTGACAAGCAAGGGAGCACTACAAGAAAGAAGATTTTGTAGAGTGATTTATTAGAGTCATATAAAATACTGACAAATGCAGAAACGAAAGCTAAACTGTCTACAAACATCAAATTACCTGTGGAGTCTTTGTTCAATAACCAAAGAGCAGACTTGGTGCAGGTACTTAATCATATAAATGACATTCTGAGTGTAGGGATCAGAAATGGATTAAGGGATGAGGAAATCCCCTCTGCTAAAGCAGGCCAGCACCTTTGGAGAAAGGGCTTTTTCCAAGTATTTACTGAGAGGCTAAGTAACATATTCAGGGTCACACAGCCAGTGTCAGTGATGCACAGGTTAGGGGTGAAGGTGGAGGTGTGGGAGTGTCCCAAGGCAAGTTGAATCCATTTGGGTAGACTTCACTTTATCCTCCCCAGGACAAAATGATTTTTCCACAAATGGAAAGATAGCTGCAAAGGGCTCCCTGGAGGAAACCACACAAATAGCAGGTTTTGGAGAGAGGAGAGCAGGGAGGAATGGGCCAGCCTCTAGGACCACGCTGATTCACTAAGACCCTGTGTCCCTCAATCTTGTCTAGTAATAACACACTGCCAAATCGGTGACAGTATAATTCCATCTGTCACCCACCACCACTCCCATGGCTAACCAGTTCCCACCACATTATTCTTTCTATCCCTGGTATTAATAACTCATGATGCCCAACCTCCTCTAATCTATCCCGCCCATGTCCCAGTCTCCCTCTGTCTCTTTCCTGCAGGCTTTCTTTTTTTTGGCAATTGGGGTTAAGTGACTTGCCCGGGTCACACAACGAGTAAGTGTCAAATGTCTGTGACCGGATTTGAACTCAGGTCTTCCTGACTCTAGGGCGGCTTTCTGTTCCATAGAGAATAAACTTCACCTCATTTTCATCCCTCTTCTCATACTCCTTCCATCCACTGGCTCCAAAACCTAGCTCCCTCCAGGACATATTGTATCCTTGGCCACCCTCTCCAGCACTGGCTGTTACCTGCCTGACCCACTGGTCCTTGAGAGGCATTAGAATACTCCATGCTCCCCACTGATGCTTTTAGACTTTCTCCTTCCTACCATCACTAAAGTAACCTCTGCTCTTTTGAAATTCATTGCATTAATATGTTCTATCTATCCTTTTCAAATCACAATGGCTATTCTGTACATCTTCCCAAGGTGCTCAGTGCCTGAATCTTCTGCTCCCCCATTCCTGCCCTTAAGCTGGGGCACTTCAATGACCCTCTTGATGCTCTCTCAAACTTTCTAGCCTCTCAATGCCTAAATTTCCTAATCAGCTACTCATTTACTCCATTCTAGCTACACCTAAGGATGGCTACACACCAGATCTTACCATTATTCATCAGGGTCCTAACTCCTTAACCCCAAACTCAAGATATCCCTCAATCTGACCAAAGCTTCCTATCATTCCATCTCTCCCTGTGCCTTACCACTCCTAAACTCATTCTTCAGAGCCCTGAAAAGCTCCAAATCCCTCTACTTCCGCGCATTTTCTTAAGCAATTAATTACTTATCCCAATCAATTGCACACTGTACCGTCATCTATTCTTGAATCTCTCACTGCTTTGGTCCTACTGCTAAACACCAATCCGAGATTACTCTGGCCATCCATCCCCATTAATACTCCCAAGGTATTGACAATCTGAGGGATCCTTCATGTGCCATGAAGGAAGACATGCTGAACACGTACACTATAAATTCATATTATCCAACTTCAACTTGGGCCTTACTTCAGGCAAGGCAAATTCTTTTAACCTCTTAAACTGGTTCTTTATCTTACTCCCCCCAAAGAAGCTATTCCAAACATACTCTTCTCTCTTCAACTCGCCTACACACCACCTTGTTATCTCAGTTTAAACATCTTGCCTCTTCTTTTACTCAGAAAACTAAGGTTACAGGCCATTAACTCCACTTTCTCTTCAGCTCAAAGCTCTTTTACACCATCCCCCAGTCTCTGCTGAGGCAGCTCTTCTCCTTGACATTGCTGAACTCTCTACGTATGCCCATGATCTAGTTTATCCCGTATACTCTAGCAGATCGCCTTGTCAATCATTCCTCACCTGTCCCTACTTCAACCTCTCTATCGAATATCTCTATCCTTTCCTACTGCCTTTAAATACACCCTACAGTCTTAAAAAACCATACACTTGACCCGGCTATCCCTTGAAGTTATCATTCAATCTCTTCTTGGCCAAACTCCCTGAAAAAAGTTATCTACCACTCATTGTTTTCTTTTCCTCATCCTCTCATTTACCCAATCCTTTGCAATCCAGCCTCTGAATTCATCACTTGATTGAAAATTCTTCTCTGCAAAGTTAGCATTGATCTCTTTACTGCCAAGTCTGGTGGTCTTTTCTCAGTTCTAATATGTCTTGACCTCTCTGCTACATTTCACACTTAACCTTCTTCTCATTCCTGGGTACCCTCTCCTCTCTGTGACATTACTCTCTCCTGGTTCTCTCTCCACCTATCTGACCATTCCTTCTCAACCACCTTTGACAGATCACTGTTCATGTTACATCCCATAACTGTGAGTGCCCATAATCGTGAGTGCTCCCAAGGCTACATCCTGGATCCCCTTCTCTTCCTGCTATACTTTCTTGGTAACCTTATTGTCTTCCATGGGATTAACCGCCCATGAAGATGATTTCAGCCTGAGTCTCTACTGAAGTTTAGTCTCACAGCACCAAATACTGGTTGGATATTTTAAACTGAATGTGTGGGAGACACAATCTCAAATTGGATGCCCTGTAAAAATTTTAAACATGTCTGAAACAGTACTTATTTTCCTTCTCCTAATCCTCACCATTTTCCTAACTTCCCTATTATTAACTACCTAGTCACCCAGGCTTACAACTGAGGTGTTGACTCACATCTTCACTCTCACCCTCTATATCCAATCAGTTGTCATGTGTTGTCATTTTCTACCTTCATAACATTTTCCTTACATGTCTCCTTTCCTATGCTGACACTTTCGCCACCTTGGTGCAGGTCCTCGTCACCTAATGCTTGGACTATTGCAATAGCCTTCTGGTTGGTTGTCCTGACTCATCTCTTCCCAATCCAGTCCATCTTCCACTCAGCTACCAAAATGATCTTAAAGCCCAGGTCTGACCATGTCATCTCCTTGTTACCTCCAGAATCAAATATAAAATCCTCAGTCCCTTTAAAGGACTTCATAACCTGCTCCCTTCTTATCTTTCCAGTCTTCTCTCACCTTACTTCCTTCGCCTTCTCTGCCATCCAATGACTCTGGCCTCTTTTGTGTTCCTTACACATGACACTCCATCAGCCCTCTCTCTCGTCATGTCTTCCTCCTGGTCCTCTGGTTTCCTTCAAATGTCAGCTAAAGATGCACCTTCTGCCAGGAAGTTTTTCCCAGTCCTCCTCAATCTTGGCACCTTCCCTCTGGGACAACCCTCACTTGCCTGTATAGATCTTACCTGTATGGTTTATGTGGTGACTCACCTCTCCCCCATCTCCCCATTAGCCTGCAAGCTCCTTGAGCACAAGGATTGTCTTTTGCCTTTCTCTGTATCGCTAACACTTAGCACAGTGCCTGGAATGGAGCACGAGCTTAATAAATGCTTGCTGACTGACTGACTAAACTAGAAGTCTAATGGGAAGAATGTTGGAAATCTGAGTTTGCCTCCTCTTCCCCCTACTGAAGTCGCCTGACTTCTGTGGCACAGTGGATAGAGTACCAGGCCTGGAGTCAGGAAGACTCACCTTTCCGAGTTCAAATCTGGCCTCAGACACTTAAATAGCTGTGTGACCCTAGGCAAGTCACTTAATCCTGTTTGTCTCAGTTTCCTATCCATAAAATGAGCTAGAGAAAGCAATGACCAACTCTTCTAGTATTTTTGCCAAGAAAACTCCAAAAGGGACTCATGATGAGTCAAACGTGACTGAGGCGACTGAACAACAACAGAAACAAACATAAGAAAATGAGAGGTTTGGAATGATTTGGGAAACAATGCATTACTTTAAAAGATTCCAAACATCTTCCTAAAACAAAGGCTCATCTTCCTTACAGCAGAGTTCTTGCAATAATACTACAGAGCTACCAACATAAAGAATAACGACCCACTCTCTGAGAGATCATGCAGAGGGCAATGGAGAGATGCACAGACGGCATCAAGGGACGCTAGCGCTATTTCAATGAATTATGTGCATTTAGTGAGTAAAGGATCTCATCAGGGACAGAAAAGGAGGAGAGTTAGCAAGAGTGGAGAGAAGAGACAAAAGCCCTTATGCTACCTATCAAGAAATCAGGAGGAGGGAGACACATGAGAAGAGAGGCAATAATCATATAGAATGAGAAAGGGAAAGGATTATAATCCAAACCGCTAGAGAGAGAACCCACATCAATGAAATCATGGCCCCAACCTACTGAAATACCCAATTATTAATGGAATATGAAAAATAGCAAGCAATTATTATAGTACATCTTTAAAAACATTTTTTAAAAATCAGAAATTGTACCATTTTCTGATATTTCTTACCTCCACACACTCTGCCCCATGGAATATGACTAGGCTGTCACATTCCCTGCATTTAGATGGAGTCCTCAGCTTCCGAAGCTTATGGCTGAGAGCAGCTTTTGACCTGAGGGCATTTCTAAATGGTCCAGGGAAACTGCTAATTTCAGGCACATGCTCATTTAAGCCTTGAAAACAAAATTTGGTAATTATTTAATATTTCTAGGGAGATACCATTTGACTTTAAAATATACTTATTGACCAAAATTGATCTTTAAAAAAATGATGGTAATATTACAACATGCCATTAACTTAGACTGGCAATAGAAGATATTAAAGCAAGCAACAAAATTATTTTCCTTACAAGGACAGTTGCAAAGGTATTTCTAATTTTTATAATGTGAGTCCAGTTACCTATTTTTTTAAATAATTCATTAAACTATAATTATGTTGATCATAAAGCAACATTTATTAAAATACTATTCAGAAAGCATATGATAAGTCTTAAGGAACTTTTTGATGATATTAATTTCTTGGCAATTTTCAATACTTCTAAAAAAAATAGCACTATTGTAAGCACGTTTGTAACATCTCATAGATTTGCACCAAAAAGAATTTTTTTTAAAAATCACCACACTCACCTAAGAATTTTAAGATAAAATCAACTAAAAGACTAGATATTTTTATCAAGAACTTAAGTCTTACTGATTTCACCTTATGCTCTTCAGATCAACATATGCATCAATTTCCTCATTTGCACATTGAGTCCTACTCTTAATTAACACAGGCCTTCCAAGAAGACATCAATCATCGCTTCTCAATTTAATTGTAATATGGTAGTAATATCTTTTCCTTCTCTATTTCATGGTTTAAGTAGGAGAGGAGAACCTGTGGCCTTTGAGGCCACATGTGGCCTTCTAGGTCCTTGGGTATGGCCTGGTGACCCAGTCCAAGTTTTACAGAACAAATCCTTTTATTAAGGGGATTTGTTCTGTGAACTTTCGATTCAGCCAAAGGCCACACTTGAGGACCTACGGGGCCACGTGTGGCCTCATGGCTGTAGGTTCCTTACCCCTAGTTTAAATCACGTGTTTATTCTTATCCTTAGAAAAAGCAAGCTGAGCTCTTCAAACAACGGTCATGGTGTCACCATCTTCATCATCATTAAACCCAAGATCTAATAGTCCCAATTAGGCAGGCTCATTAACTTATTTTTGGATAGGAAATTTCCTACTGATATGAAACATATGAAACTAGAAATAGAAATTATTTTGGAGTCAGAGTACCGAGGGTCAAATTCTACCTCTGTTAATACTGTGTGGTATTGTGTAAAGACCCTTTTCCCCTCTATAGGCCTTAGTTTCCTTACCATTAGATTAGATGATGTCTAAGGTTCTTTCCACGACTACTAACTCTGAATGCTCTAGAAATATCTAAAACCATCTTCTTAGATTGATGTCAAAGCAGGTTTGTAATGTCATATGTTTAATCAAATGAACAGATGTGAAATAAACTTGGTCACTAAGATGACTACTTTCCTTCAACGTTCTTTAATTTTCATAACTACTAGTTTCTCTACCAAGAATCACTTAATTGATGCAGAGTCCTGAACTGCTTCTACTAAAATCAGACTGCTTTAACTGTTAAGTGCTTCGCATTATTAGTCTGATGAAAACAGAATTTCTGATCTATCATTATGTCTCTAACCCACACATCATGCAATAATTATTTCTGAAAAATAGTCTTAGGGTTTACTTGGCTAACATATTTGTCAAATCACATTTTAGGTCTAATTATTGCATTATTTTCAAATCATCATGCCTGGTGAAGGGCAGTATGTGAGGGGTAATGAAAAGCCCCTTAAAACCTGGGATAAATAAACCTAGCTCTGTCACTTACCAGATGTGTGACCTTGGGCAAGTCAGTTTCACTGAGCCTTAAGTTTCCTCACCTCTTACCTTAACAGTTACGGAGAAGTTAGGTAGAAGAGAGTATCTTGGGATACTCCCAAGAGTACCTTACTCAATGAAAGTTGTATTTCTTTGGCTATTTGTGCCAAATAATAATATCTACAGCTCACATTTGCAAAAGTATTTTATACTTTACAGAAAGTTTTCCTCAGAGCATCCCTATTAGGTATAGATAGTGTATAGAACATTGTCCTAAAATGTAGACTACTGATATGAAATTGTCCTAAAATGTAGACTGATATGAAATTATCCTAAAATGTAGACTACTGATATGAAATTGTCCTAAAATGTACACTATTGATATGAAATTGTCCTAAAATGTGGACAATGTTCTATACACTATCTATACCTAATAGGGACGCTCTGAGGAAAACTTTCTGTAAAGTATAAAATACTTTTGCAAATGTGAGCTGTAGATATTATTATTTGGCACAAATAGCCAAAGAAATACAACTTTCATATTAAGATTTCAAGTCTTATCCGTCATTATACACTATGGCTATAATTCATCTAACTAAAACTGGATCAAATAAAGTACAATGCACAATACCAATCTCAGAAGGAGAAGGTGGCTCTCTTTCATCTAGCTCATCGGCAGAAGACATAGTCCCCATTGATGGTGTCCGAGGAAGGTGACGTTTAAAATCCCCTGAAGGAAGACAGACCTAGTAAAACTACTTGTATATGCAATTACAGAAATTTTTCATTTGAACAATAAGGACTTCATTTGATAAAGGACAATTTTTGTTGAATTTTAGAGATAGGGGTGTGTGTGTGTGTGTGTGTGTGTGTGTGTGTGAAAAAGAGAGAAAGAGAAAGAGAGAGAGAGAGAGAGAGAGAGAGAGAAAGTTTTACACACACATAATGGCTAGAGTACTGGACTTGAAACTAGGAAGAACTGGGCTGAGTTTTGCCCTTTGACCAGCTATGTAGTCATGGGTAGGGTAACCTGAGTCTATTTCCTCATTTGTAAATTGGGATATCACCCCATAGTATCTACCTCAAAGAGCTATTGCGAAGATCAAATGACATTATATGTATGTGTATATATATATATATATATATATATATATATATATATATATATATATGGGATTTTGCAGACTGTAAAATAGGCTATTTAAATATCAGTAATTATGAATAGCTATATATAATGAAAAGAGATAGACAGATATGTTTAGCCTAGAGGAGAGAAAACAGGAGAACTGGGAAGGTGAAGGGAGGAATGAGACAAAATAATTGTTTTCAAATAATTGAGGAACAGTGTCACATACATGTAGGAAGGAAAGAGAGAAAGAGAAAGAGAGAGAGAGACAGTGTGTGTGTATGTGTGTGTGTGCGCGTGCCATTAAGATAGACCTACTCTGGTGCCTCATCATGTTGAGGTTCTTGCAGGACAAGCCAGTGTTTCAAATCAAGCAGGCTTGGGGATAGACTCACGTCAGCTGCCCAGGGACCAGGGACTGAATCACTAGGTTATTTGCATAATGATGAATTTTTTTAGCCAAAGAACCTCTATAGGAAGACTCACCAGAGCTTTCCCCCAACTTTAAATAATGGCTCAAAACAAATTCTGGAGCAGCAGAACCCACAGAAAAGATGGGATGAAATAATTTCTAGCCCAAGACAACTTAGAAGGTCAAAGAGAAAAGGTCTGTTGTACCAGGATAAAAATGGAGCACAGGCCTTGCCCCAGCAAATGAGCAGCAGGCCTTGGGCGCAACTGAATCAGAAGTCGCACTGGTAGTTTCCAGATCACTCAGCCCAGAGACGGGAGGTCAGACATCACATCAGAAGGAGATTACAGGAATCCTTTTGCAGGCAATAGGAGGACCTTGTTGCATTGCACAACCATCTGGATTGCAGTCCTGGCTCTCAGTCACAGGGCAAGGAGCAGCACTAACACACCTGCAGCTACAGGACAACTGGGACCTTGGTCACAGTTCAAGTGGAAAAGAGTGCTTGTGGCCTCTCATGGACCATAGCACAGGGCAGGGAGAGTAGTAAACACACCTTTCCCTAGATCATACCACCTTGGAAGAAATGAAAACTTACAGGTCCCCGGAATTATCTCTAAAAACAGCTGCACAAAAGATCTGAAGCTTTGGACATTGCTCTCTCCACTCCAGAAGCAGAACCCCACTTTAGCATAGAGTTAAAAGACAAGAAAAAGACTGGGAAAATGAACAAACAGCAGAAAAAGGACTTGACTATAGAAAATTACTATGGTGACAGGGAAGATTAAAACTCAAACTCAGAAGAAGACAACAAAAACAAAACTGCTACATCCAAAGCCTAAAAGAAAAATGTAACTTGGTCTCAGGTCATGGAAGAACTCAAAACGGATTTTAAAAATCAAGTAAGAGAAGTCGAGGAAAAATTGGGAAAAGAAATGAGAGTGATATAAGAAAATCATGAAAAAATGGTCAACAACTTGGCAAAGGAGACACAAAAAAATACTGAAGAAAATAACACCTTAAAAGACAGAATAGGCCAAATGGTAAAAGAGGCACAAAAAAATCCAATAAAGAGAAGAAAGTCTTGAAAAGTAGAACTGGCTAAATGGAAAAAGAGGCACAAAAATTCACTGAAGAAAAGAACTCCTTAAAAAGTAGAATTGGCCAAATGGAAAAGGAGGCACAAAGGTTCACTGAAGAAAAGAATTCCTTAAAAATTAGACTGGACAAATGGATGCTAATGACTTTATGAGACACCAAGAAAAAATAAACAAAATCCAAGGAATTTTAAAAAATGTGAAATATTTCATCAGAAAAACAACTGACATCAAAAATAGATTGATGAGAGATAATTTAAGAGTTATTGGACTATAAATGCTATGATGAAAAAAAAGCCTAGACATTATCTTTCAAGAAATTATCAAGGAAAACTGCCCTGATATTCTAGAACCAGAGGGTAAAATAGAAATTGAAAGAATACATCAACCATCGCCTAAAAGAGATCCCAAAAGAAAAACTCCCTGGAATATGATAGCCAAATTCCAGAGTTCCCAGTTCAAGAAGAAAATACTGCAAAACAGCCATAAAGAAATAGTTCAAATATTGAGGAGCTACAGTCAGGATAACACAAGATTTAGCAGTTTCTACATTAAAGGATCAGAAAGCTTGGAATATGATACTCAGGAGGGCAAAAGAGTTAGGATTACAACCAAGAATCACCTACCCAGAAAAACTGAGTATAATCTTTCAGGGGAAAAAAATAGACATTCAAGGAAATACAGGGCTTTCAAGCATTCCTGATGAAAAGACCAGAGCTGAACTGAAAATCTGACTTTCAAATACAAGAATCACAAGAAATATAAAAAGATAAACAAGAAAAAGGAATCATAAGGGATTCAATAAGGTTAAACTGTTTACATTCCTACATGGGAAAATGATACTTGTTACTCCTAAAAACTTTCTTATTATTAGGGCAATCAAAAGGACTATACATAGAAAAGGGCGTGGGTATAAATTTAATATGATGAAATAATTATCTAAAAAAATAAAAGGGGGAAGAAAGAGGAATGCACTGGGAGGTGAAAGGGAGAGGTAGGATGGGGTAAATTATCTGACATAAAAGAGGTGAGAAAAGGTTTTACCATGGAAGGGAAAATGGGAGAAGTTGGGGGGGAAGCAAGTATACTATACTCTCATTGGAACTGGTTCAAAGAGGGAATAATATACATACTGCGTTGGGTACAGAAATCTATCTTACCACACAAGAAAGAAGAATGGGAAGGTGGATAAGAGAGTTGGGGGAAGTGGGAGGATGATAGAAGAAGAGGGTAGACTAGGGGAGGTAAAAGTCAGAAGCAAAACACTTTTGAAGATACACAGGGTGAAAGGAAAGAGATAGTAGGATAAACAGGGAGAAAACAGGATGAAGGCAAATACATAGTTAGTAATCATCACTATAAAAAATGTACAGCGAGTTTCTTTGCTAAAGACCTCATTTCTCAAATATATAGAGAACTGAGTCAAATTTATATAAATAAGAGCCATTCCTCTATTGATAAATGGTCAAAAGATATGAACAGGTAGTTTTCAAATTAAATAATCAAAGCTATCTAGAGTCATATGAAAAATGCTCTAAATCACTAATGAATAGAGAAATGCAAATTAAAACAACATCTATCACATTGGCTAACATGACAGAAAAGGAAAATGACAAATGTTGGAGAGGATATAAGAAAATTGAGAAACTAATGCACTGTTAGAGAAGTGGTATACTGATCCAACCACTCTGTAGAACAATTTGGAGCTATACCCAAAGGGCAATAAAACCATGCATATCCTTTGACCAAGCAATACTACATCTGTATCCTAAAGAAATAAAAAACAAAAAGGAAAACATCCTATATGTACAAAAACATTTAAAGTAGCTCTTTCAGTGGTGGCAAAGAATTGTCAGTTGAGGGGATGGCCATCAATTGGGGAATAGCTGAACAAGTTGTGGTGTATGATTGTGATGGAATACTATTGTATATAAGAAATGACAAGCAGGATGATCTCAGAAAAACCTGGACTTACATGAACTGATGTAAAGTAAAATGAACATAAGTAGGAGCAATATATATAGTAACAGCAATATTGCACAATAATCAACTCTGAATGACTTAGCCATTCTCAGCAATACAATGATTCAGACAATTCTGAAGGACCTAAGATGAAAAATGCAATCCATCTCCAGAGAAAGAATTGATGGAGTCTGAATGCATTCTGAGGCCTACTTTCTCTTTGCTTTCTTTTTTTCTCATTTGTTTGGATTTTTTTGGTCTGTGTTTTCTTTAACAACATGAATAACATGGAAATTGTTTTGCATGACTGCACATGTATAACCTACAACAAACTGCTTGCATTCTTGATGGGGGGAGGATTTGGAACTCAAAAATTTTAAAAAATGAAATGTTAAAAATGGTTTTTACATGTAATTAGAAGAGAAAATAATAAATTTTAATAAGAAAAACTCAAAATCCTCTAGAAAACCAACACTAAGTTAGAAAGATTACAATCTACATCAGTGAAGAGAATAGTACTCACACTGATAAAACAAGTTTTTGAAGTATACATAAGCACAACACACACACACACACACACACACACACACACACACACACACACACA